TTGAGACGGAGTCTTGCTCTGTCACCCAGGCTGGAGAGCAATGGCATGATCTCGGCTCACTGCAACCTCCGCCTCCTGGGTTCAAGCCATTCTCCCGTCTCAGCCTCCTGAGTGGCTGGGATCGCAGGTACACACCACCATGCCCAGCTAATTTTTGTATTTTTAGTAGAGACGGGGTTTCACCATGTTGGTCAGGCTGGTCGTGAACCCCTGACCTCGTGATCCACCCGCCTCGGCCTCCCAAAGTGTTGGGATTACAGGTGTGAGCCACTGCGCCCAGAAAGAGCCACTAATTTTACTTTTGAAATATACTGAATATTTCTATTAAAAGCTAAGATAAGCTCACTATTATGTAGAAAATTTGTGGTTTGCATGTGCATTATTACCCATTAAGTGCTCTACAGTTTCTGAAAGTTTCAGAAACACCAATATAAAAATACTATTTCTGATTGAATAAAAGATATCATCATTTTAGTCACTACTAAATGAAACAGATTGGAATTGCTAGTCACAATGTGGTTTTAAATGTTATTTAATGAACACATGTGAAGTTTCTGTTCAACTCATGTTAACTATTTTTTCACTTCTATTAGAAAAATATTAAAATTTAAATTACTACAAATGTATGAATGTATTCAAATCTAAACACAGTGCCAATCTTAAAAGATCTGTATGCATAGGATTATAGAATGCCTATTCTCCATTTACCTTAGAAGATAAATAACTGCTTTTCAATAAACCCAACGGGGCAATTGTGACTCACAATCATAAGCTACTAAAATATTAATACTATCATCTAGAAAGTATTTATTAATTCATTTTCCTTACTTTTGAGATACAGTCATAATTTCTAGTTGTCATAACACTAGATTTGAGGTGCTGTGGCTGCAGTAACTAGAAATGTCATGGTTGACTCTGCTTTACTTTCTGCCTATTTCTTACAAACACAGCAAAACAAGGAAGGCCAGAAATCCTACACCTTGATTGCAAATACACCAGTACTCTTCTAGGGAGAATATATGTTCGAACATATTAACTTGAAATTCCTGGCATCTTTCCTTGAAGAACAGACTTTTTTTTTTTTTTTTTTGAGGTGGAGTTTTTCTCTTGTTGCCCAGGCTGGAGTGTAATGGTGCAGTGTCGGTTCACTGCAACCTCTGCCTCCCAGGTACAAGCGATTCTCCTGCCTCAGCCTTCTGAGTGGCTGGGATTACAGGCACCTGCCACCACGCCTGGCTAATTTTTTGTGTTTTTAGTAGAGACGGGGTTTCATCATGTTGGCCAGGCTGGTCTCAATTTCCTGACCTCATGATCTGCCTGCCTCGACCTTCCAAAGTGCCGGGATTACAAGCGTGAGCCACCGCGCCCAGCCTAGAACAATTTTCTTACACTTTAGAACAATTTTCTTACATCTTTAGAACAATGTATGTGTATATTTAACTTTATGTAAATCAAAACTAAAAGTCATATGTGTTTGCAGGCAGAGAGGCCAAAAGTTCAAAAATGTATATATAACAAAATTTTAAGAATATTGTAGTCAATAACAACTTAGTTGTACATTTAAAAATAACTTAAGGCCAGGCATGGTGGCTCACACTTGTAATCCCAGCACTTTGAAAGGCTAAGGTGTGCGGATCACGAGGTCAGGAGTTCAAGACCAGCCTGACCCACACAGAATACCGGTACGTCTCTACTAAAAATACAAAAATTAGCCGGGCATGGTAGTACGCACCTGTAATTCTGGCTACTCAGGAAGCTGAGGCAGGAGAATCGCTTGAACTCGGGAAGTGGAGGTTGAAGTGAGCCAAGATCCGCCACTGCACTCCAGCCTGGGCGATAGAGCGAAACTCCGTCTCAAAAAATAAACAATAAAAAATAAAAATAACTGAAAGTGTAGAACTGGATTGTTTGTAATACAAAACATAAATGCTAGAGGTGATGCATACCTCATTTACCCTGATGTGATTATTACATATTATATGCCTATATCAAAATATATGTTATATGGCATAAATATATACACATACTTTGTACCCACAAAATTTAAAAAACAGATTTAAACGAGAAAAAAAGAATAAAAATTTAACCTACAGAAACAATATTTTTTAACTTATTTGCAGTTGAAAGCCACTGGCAAAAGAGATTACCAGAGATGTTAGTTGATTATGTTACCAAATAGTATATTCTTACTATCTTTTACCTACACCTTTGAGTAAATGGGATAGGTTTCAGTTAGTGGCATAATAATGCTTCATTGAATGCACAATAGTATTAACATGTTAAAAACTGTATAATTAAGCAATTAAGTTCACACATAATCTGAAATTTTAAAAATGTACTGCATTTTATTACATAAAAGTACAAGTAGTAAAATCATATACTAATTTTTAAATTTTAACAAAACAAGTATGTTCTCACTATAATGCAAAAGAATATTACTGTGAACACCTACCTCATGCACCACTCAATATCATAAGTTAACCACAAATAGCGTCTCCACTTAGATTTTCATCATGCATGTAACATTTTAATGTCCTTACTCTTCCAAAGAAAAGGTCATAAATAATGCCCACCTAAAAAAAAAGAAACTCTCCTATCTTTGATGCAGTGACAACTGATCACATTCGAATACAATAGAAATGAAGAAATAGCATCAAGTAATTTCAGAGTTGAATTACAGCATTATTAGCTTTTTAAAAAATCTGTACTTCTTTTCAAGGAAAAAAGTATACTTTGGGCTGGGCGCGGTGGCGTAAGCCTGTATTCACAGCACTTTGGGAAGCCAAGCTGGGCAGATCATGAGGTCAGAAGTTCAAGACTAGCCTGACCAACATGGTGAAACCCCGTCTCTACTAAAAACACAAAAATCAGTCGGACGTGGTGGTGTGCACCTGTAATCCCAGCTACTCAGTAGGCTGAAGCAGAATTGCTTGAACCCAGGAGGCAGAGGTTGCAGTGAGCTGAGAGTGTGCCACTGTACTCCAGCCTGGACGACAGAGAGATTCTCTGTCTCAAGGGGGGGGAGGGGGAAGTATAGTTTGAATGTAATTACAAACTTCCAAAAAATTTTCTACTCTTTTTAAAATTATGTACAAATAAATTTATCTGCCGTTTGGGATCATTTTTTACACTCAGCACTTTGATATAGTGTAATGTCTGAAGTGTCAGTACCTTAGTATTTTTTGTTTTTGTTTTTGAGATGGAGTCTCACTCTGTCGCCAGGCTAGAGTGCAGCAGTATAATTTCGGCTCACTGCAACCTCTGCCTCCCGGGTTCAAGTGATTCTCCTGCCTCAGCCTCCCGAGAAACTGAGACTACAGGCACGTGCCACCACGCCCAGCTAATTTTTATATTTTTAGTAGAGGCAGGGTTTTATCATGTTGACCAGGATGGTCTCAATCTGTTGACCTCATGATCCACCCACCTCAGCCTCCCAAAGTGCTGGGATTACAGGCGTGAGCCACCATGCCCGGCCCTACCTTAGATATTTCTACTGTAAATTCTCTGATATTTACATAGACTTAATTTTGGATTGAATGTTTTAAATATATACTGCATCTGCAAAAATATATTTCAGTATGAACCCTCTGGTGTTGTCTAAGTTGTAGTTTTGGGAAAAAAACTCAAATTTATTATGTTTGCAGGGTTGTTCTCCAATCTGAATTCCCTGATGTTGAACAAAGTTTAAGCAACTGCTTCACGGTTTTCTCTAGCACAAAACGTGTACAGTAAGATCTGTGATACAAGTAAAGGTACTACAACCCTCTTTTATTTGTAATGTTTGTCTTCACAATAAATACTGTACTTTAAAAGCTTATATTTTCTGAAAGATTTTTTGACAGTAATTAAATTTATAATACTTTTATTAAGTACTCTCTGATGTTGAGTAAGATGTGAGCAGACATTAATGGCTTTTTCACAGTCTTTATATTGGTACAATTTTTCTCAAGTGTAAATGCTTTCCTGGCAATAAGGTGTGAGTATTCATTAAAAAGTTTGCCACATTCTTCACACTTGTAAGAGTTTTTGTAGTAATAATTATCTTACCTACAATCAAGTGTGACAATCATTTAAAGGTTTTGTCACATTTTCCACATTTTGAAAGTTCCTCAGCAGTATGATTTATTTTATGCTTAGAAAAGTTTGAGGTGTTGTCAAAATTACTGCAATGTCTTCCAGCTTTGTAGTTTCTCTCAAGTTTTTTTTTTTTTTTTAAAACGTGTAGTAAGATTTGGGGACCAGTTAAGTACTTTGCCACATTCTTTACATTTGTAGGGTTTCTCTCTAGTATGAATTATCTTTTTTTTTTATAAGAATTAAGAGCCAGTTAAAGGTTTTGCCACATTTATCACATTTGTAGGATTTCTCTCCAGTATTATCTTGTGTTTTATACACATTATTTACATTTGTAGAGTTTCTCTTTGGTATGAATTCTCTTATGTTTAGTAAGGTTTGGGGACTGGTTAAAGGCTTTGCCACAGTCTTCACATTTGTAGGGTTTCTCTCCAGTATGAATTATCTTATGTTTCATAAGGGTTGAGGACTGGTTAAAAGCTTTGCCACATTCTTTACATTTGTAGGGTTTCTCTCCAGTATGAATTATCTTATGTGTAGTAAGGTGAGAGGACAGAATAAAGCTTTTGCCACATTCTTCACATTTATAGGGTTTCTCTCCAGTATGAATTTTTTTATGATTAGTAAAATTTGAGGAGTAGTTAAAAGTTTTGCCACATTCTTCACATTTGTAGGGTTTCTCTTCAGTATGAATTACTTTATGTTTAGTAAGGATTGAGAATATACTAAAGGCTTTACCACATTCTTCACATTTGTAGGGTTTCTTTCCAGTATGAATTACCTTATGATAAGTAAGAGTTGAGGACTTGGTAAAGGCTTTACCACATTCTTCACATTTGTAGGGTTTCTCTCCAGTATGAATTACCTTATGATTAGTAAGGTGTGAGGACCGGTTAAAAGCTTTACCACATTCTTCACATTTATAGGGTTTCTCTTCAGTATGAATTATCTTATGTTTAGTAAGGGTTGAGAATACACTAAAAGCTTTGCCACATGCTTCACATTTATAGGGTTTCTCTCCAGTATGAATTCTCTTATGTGTAGTAAGGTGTGAAGATAAAGTAAAGGCTTTGCCACATTCTCCACATTTGTAAGGTTTCTCTCCAGTATGAATTTTCTTGTGATTAGTAAGGTTTGAGGACTGCTTAAAAGCTTTGCCACATTCTTCACATTTGTAGGGTTTCTCTCCAGTATGAACTATCTTATGTTTAGTAAGGTTTGAGGACCGGTTAAAAGCTTTGCCACATTCTTCACATTTGTAGAGTTTCTCTCCAGTATGAATTATCTTATGTCTAGTAAGAGTTGAGGACTGGTTAAAAGCTTTTCCACATTCTTCACATTTGTAGGGTTTCTCTCCAGTATGAATTATCTTATGATTAGTAAGGTTTGAGGACTTTTTAAAAGCTTTGCCACATTCTCCACATTTGTAGGGTTTCTCTCCAGTATGAATTATCTCATGTTGAGTTAGTTGTGAAAGCATGCAAAATGATTTGCCACATTCTTTACATTTGAAAGGATTTTTTCCAGTATGTCTTATCTTATGTCTCTTTGAATTTGAATATTTATGAAAGACTTTCACATATTTATCATACTGAACTACTTTGCTCTGGGTAGTTGTCACACATTGGTTAAGTTCCTTATGACCTCCTTTGTGCAACTTATGCTCATCCACACTTTTACAGCCTTTTCTTAATTGTAAATTCTGATATCCACATTTTCCATATCTTCTCAGTATCACTTGTTGGAATGAATTTTTTATGTACTGCTCTGGCCTAAGGTCTTTGGCAAAATGAGAACACATAGCTGAAAGAAATAAAAATAACAAATTATTCCACTTACTCGGCTCCGATTAATGTCATTTACAAATCTAACTTACACCAGCTATATAAGCAAAATGGCACAGCAAAACACCACAGATCCTAAATCCTTTATAGACACATAAATGTAACAAAAACATTCTGACCAAAATACATTTGTGAAAAATTTATAAATGAGTAAAGTGTGTGCAGTGTCCCAGGCGAGGATAATGCAAAGAGCCACATAGGAGAAAAAAGAAAAGTCTGTTACATTTACCCAACACACCTCTTTCTGCTGCCCAATCTAACATGGTGACTTTAGAAGTAAATTGTCAACTCCTGGTTTCTTTTTTAAAAGACTAAAAAAAATAGTGTCACATACATCTTTATTTCTGGCTCTCAGGGGCCTTTTCAGACACTGGTTTCTGTCTCCCATGACATAAAGTACTAAAATAAATGATAGTATACTTTGGAATGACAGTTTGAGTCTGCTGAGACCAAAGTTAAGTGTTACAGCAGCAGAGACTGCAGTGCCACATACAGGAAACAGGTTTAGCAAGTGATTACTGAGTATTTAGAAGAAACGCTAACATACTTCTTTAACTTTAAAAGCCCACAAAATTTTAGACAAGACACAATCTAAGAAAATGTTAGAGAGACTCCCAAAATCTCTAGCCAAGACAACTGGTTTCAGACTGTCCCAGACCTAAGCTACATTATAAAGATTGTGACAGGGCCGGGCACGGTGGCTCACAGCTGTAATCCCAGCACTTTGGGAGGCCAAGGAGGGTGAATCACCTGAGGTCGGGAGTTCAAGACCAGCCTGACCAACAAGGAGAAACCCCATCTCTACTAAAAATACAAAATTAGCTGGGCATGGTGGCACATGCCTGTAATCCCAGCAACTAGGGAGGCTGAGGCAGGAGAATCACTTGAACTTGGGAGGCAGAGGCTGTGGCGAGCTGATATCACGCCACTGCACTCCAGCCTGGGCAACAAGAGCAAAACTCCGTCTCAATAAAAAAAAAAAAAAAAGATTGTGACAGGTAGCTTGTTTTTAATGTCTAAATCTCAATCAAAGATTAATGTATACAAAATATTAGGGCAGGATGACCCCATCAAAAACATTACTAAACTTTCAGAAAGCAACCATAGGAATATAAAGATGTACAAATTTTTAAAATTTAAAATAAATTAAATACTACACAGTGAATGAAACAGGAACACAGACAACTACTGAAGTTTAGAAAACTCAGGATAACAATAAAAATATTAAAAATATCAAAAAACATAAATTAGGAAGATAAAAATGTCACAGTCAAGAAAAGAATCTTGGGAGCTGCAAGACAAAGTAATGTATCATTTATAAAAATGTCTTATGAGATAACCAGTAAATTTTCAAAAAATATTGGAATACCTGACGAGAACTGGGTGATACAGTCAAAGCCCTGGGAAAAAAAAAAAAAAACAGCTGTCAAGTGAAAATAATACAACTAAAAAGAACTGGTTGGGCAAAGTGGCTCATGCCTATAATCTCAGCACTTTGGAAGGCCGAGGCAGGCGGATCACCTGAGGTCAGGAGTTCGAGACCAGCCTAGCTAACATGGTGAAACTCCATTTCTACTAAAAATATAAAAAATTAGCCAGGCGAGGTCACACGCGCCTGTAATCCCAGCTACTCAGGAGGCTGAGGCAGGAGAATCGGTTGGACCTGGGAGGCAGAGATTGCAGTGAGCCAAGATCATGCCACTGCACTCAAGCTTGGGCAACAAGAGTGAAACTCCTTTTCAAAAAAATAAATAAATAAATAAATAAAAAAGAACTGTCCAACCGAATAAAAAGAAAGACCTTCTAAAAATAACCTAATCCTGAAAAAGTATATTGGCACTGCATATACCCTACATACCAAAGATGCTGAAAGGAGTTCTTCCCACTGAAAATAACATGATGCAGGAAAACACATAATCATACAAAAAAATATAACTTTCTGGGAAAGATATTTACATACACAAAAATAGAATTCCTTAGCATTTTAATAATCATGCAGAAAACATTATTAATTATTCTATAAAATTTTAAAGATAAAAGCATAGAAATGATTATAAACATCTGTTAATGTAACATAAAAATAAATAATTAGCGGCCAGGCACAGTGGCTCATGCCTGTAATCCCAGCACTTTGGGAGCCTGAGGAGGGTGGATCACCTGGGGTCAGGAGTTCAAGACCAGCCTGGCCAACATGGTGAAACCCCATCTCAACTGAATATATAAAAATTAGCTGGGCGTGGTGACAGACAATTGTAATCCCAGCTACTTGGGAGGCTGAGGCAGGAGAACTGCTTGAACCTGAAAAGTGAAGGTTGCAGTAAGCCAATATTGCACCACTGCAATTCAGCCTAGGTGACAGAGCAAGACTGTCTCTCAAAAAAAATGAATAAATAACAATTAAAAAATATGTATGGATATAATTAGCAACATCAATAACAAAGTAGAAAGCAGATGTAATGAGAAAGAATTTTTTGTATGCAAACAAGGTCAATTTTTTTTGTTTTGTTTTCAGATGGAGTCTCACTCTGTTGCCCAGGCTGGCATGATCTCGGCTCACTGCAACCTACGTTTCCTGGATTCAAGCAATTGTGGTGCAAATAAGGTTAATTTTTTACTACATTAAAATTGTTTTTTTTTAAGTTTTTATGTAATTCCCAAGGTACTACAAAGAAAATATCTGTATAGATACACAAAAGAAAATAAGAAAGTAGTGAAAGCATATAATACAAAAACCAAAGGACACAAAAGAAGAGAGAAAGAGGGAAAATGAGGGACAAAGATACAAGAGTTAAAGAGAATTAATAAAATTACATTAGTTTTGCTTTCGGAAAATTATTTAAATATATATAAAAGTAACTTTTCAATCTAGAGACATAATTTTCAACAAAATGATTTATTAAAATCTTTCAGATGCCAAGATTTATTTGCCTTTTTACAAGAGTCAGTTGAAATCTAATGATAAAAAAAAAGACTGAAAGGAGCAAGATGAAAGTAGAAATTTTATGCAAATATTAACCAAATGAGAGAAGAAGAGGTCAAAATAATATTACACAAGCTACATCTTAAGTCAAAAAGTGTCATATTTAACAAGATGTACTTTAAGTCAAAACTCTGAAAAGAAAAAAGGACACTGAACAATAGTAGATTCATTTACTGGGAACCAATGACTAGTTTGTGTGTGTGTGTGTGTGTGTGTGTGTGTGTGTATGTGTGTACGCATGCACATCTCACATTAGGGTTTCAAATATATAAAACAAATATTGACAGAATTGAAGAAACACACAGAGAGCAATATAATTATAGAATATATCAAGACCCCATTTTCTTAAAAATAAAACAAGACGGAATATTAGCAAGGGAATAGAAAACTTGAAATCAGTATGGAACGATTATTTCTAACAGAGGTATAGAGAGTCGAACATCAGGATATACACCCTTCCCGATAGCTCATACAGCATTCTCCTTGAAAGGACCATCTGTTAGGCCAAAAAAAATTCTTAACACATTTTTTAAAACAGAAATCTTATGAATTACTTTCTGTGACCAAAATGGAACGAGATTATAATTTTAAAAATGGAAAAATTCACAAATACATAGAAATTAAACAACACATTTTGAGTGTGCTCTTGTTCAAAGGTTGAAATAATATTGTGTAGATTTCCATACTGCTCAAAGTAATCTAGAGATTGAATATAATGTTTTTCAAATTTCTTATTGCATTTCTGAAGAAATAGAAACAGCAATCCCAAAAGTATATGGAATCTCAAGAGACTATACTCAACAATCTTCAAAAAAAGGAACAATGTTGGAGGCATTACAGTTTTTTACTTCAAAACACATGACAAAGCTACATAATAAAAACAATTTTGTATGAATATAAAGATAAGAAAGTAGATAAATAAAATAGAATCCAGCACATGAACTTTCACATATACGGTCATATAAAGAGTCATTTGCATATCCATAATTATTGCAGCACTGTTACTCGAAGCCAATAGGTAAAAGCAATGCAAATTTCTGTTACAAAATCATTTAGTAAATATAATTTGAAATATAAAAACACTGGAATATCACTCAGTTTGCAAAAAGCAGAAAATATTATAACAACTATAAAGATAAATCTTAACGACATTATGCAAAATGAAACGAGCCAGTCACAAAAAGACAGAGATCGTATGATATGTATAACAGTTACACTCTCTGAAACAGAACAAGAGTGGTGTTTGAAAAGTGAGATGAAATGGGAATAATTGGTAGTTGTTTAATGTACATTAAGATTCAGCCTTATGGTCAGGCGTGGTGGCTCACGCCTGTGCTCCCAGCACTTTGGGGGGCTGAGGCAGGTGGATCACGAGGTCAGGAGTTCAAGGCCAGCCTGGCCAAGATGGTGAAACCCCATCTCTACTAAAAATACAAAAATTAGCCAGGCATGGTGGTGGGTGCCTGTAATCCCAGCTACCCGGGAGGCTAAGGCAGAGAATTGCTTGAACCTGGGAGGCGGAGGTTGCAGTGAGGCGAGATTGCACCACTGCACTCCAGCCTGGGTGACAGAGTGAGACTCTGTCTCATACACACACACACACACAACACAGATTTAGCTTTGCAAGATAAAAACATTTTGGCATATGTTGCATACCAATATAAATATAATTAATATGAAAAAACAAAATATTTAAAAAATTTTTAGGTGAGGTGCAGTGGCTCATGCCTGTAATCCCAGCACTTGCAGAGGCTGAGGCAGATAGGTCACTTGAAATCAGGAGTTCGAGACCAGCCTGGCCAACATGGTGAAACCCCATCTCTACTAAAGCAACAACAACAACCAATTAGCTAGGCGTGGTATGCACACCTGTAATCCCAGCTACTCAGAAGGCTGAGTCAACAGAATTCCTTGAACCCCGGAGGCATAGGTTGCTGTGAGCCAAGATCACACCACTGCAGTCCAGCACAGGAGACAGA